GCAGGCATCTGCCCTCCAAGGGCCAGGTTAGCACTATAAGGAGAGATGAAGGAGAAAGTTTACCTGTTAAAAAAGTCTCTCCAGGGGCTGGAGTTGTAGCTCAGTGGTAGAGTGCTTGTCTAGCATGCATGAGGCACTGGGTTTGATTCTCAGCACCATATAAAAATAAACAAACAAAAAAAGGCATTCTGTCCATCTACATATACAAAAAAAAATTAAAAATTAAAAAAAAGTCTCTTCACCATATGCACATGTCAAGGCCTGCAATTCCCATCATTTGTCTTCTCTATGGGTTGGGACAATGCTTTCACTTATGAGTTCAGCTATGCATTTATCCAACAGTTATTACCTAATTCCTGTTGCATGCCAGGCACTGGATGTACCGTGGCATGGTGTTGTCTTGGAGTGCAGAATCTCCTGGGAGAGATGAACATCAGACAATTACAAATGTTTGCACTTTCTGGTAAGATCTTGAAGGACAAGAGAATTTACAGAGGGCTCAATCTGGAGAATGACTTTGAAGAGTGAGGTGTCAGTACAGTCCAGAGTGAAGAAGGAACTCTGCTGAGCAATCACAGGCCATCAGCCAACTCCAGGACAGTGGAGGGCTTGGGTGAGTTCAAATAATTGCCCTTGGGGCAGAAACAACACCTATGAAAAGGTAAGTTGTGGGAAATAGATTGGAGACTTTATCAGGGTTGGTTCCCCAAAAAGTAATTTCACAATTTAAAAATATTACTTTGAATTTGGCAAATGCAGCCACTGGATAACTTGGTGTGAACAAATGAGTCAAGTTGGCTAGTCTCCATGGGGAGTGACAAAGGACAGATGTGAAGAAGGCAGAAGAAGAATGCAAAATCTGTAAGGGACACTTGAGTAGGAGCTCCACTCCACTCCAGAAAGGCCAAGGCACTGGGGAGAAACTGGCATGACACAGGTGGAGAGACTACTGGGGTGTCAGGCCCCACCCAGTGATATGACCAAGTCACTGCTGGCCTTACTGAGGCTGCCTGATCAACTATCCACCTGTACTGTGCCTGGTGGTAAAACCAAATCACCATCTTGGAGTCTTGGAGCTGAAGGGACCAGGGGGATAGTCTAGTCCAAGTTGCTCATTTTTTACAGTTTAGACTCTATGGCCCAACTGAAGGGAGAGCCCAGAAGTGGGGGTGGTAAACTCTAAAGGCAGGACCCTGACTCTCCTGCCCCTCCTCACCTAGCACTGCTCATGATCTACTCTACACAGTTGAACAGTTAGTTCTCAAGGGTACCTGGGTCATATATAGACTGCTAGGAGGTGCTCAAGAAACACATGTTGAAATAACTTTTTTCTCAGCATGCAAATCTACTTTAGTTTCTTCTCAAGTTTACGTAAGTTTTGAAGACTGAACCAGACACCTACAGTCTCATACTCATGAACTTGTGATTCACTGACATTCTCCCAAGAAATTGCTGTTTGGCCACTTTAAAACAATATTTGGGATTGAGAATACTTAAGAAAATGAAATACATCCAATGCATCATTATACTCATCAAAGAAATCAACTAGGAACTGAAATAGGTTTCTTTTGAAATAAAGCTATATGTATTAAGATCCCCAATATGTCAGTTTAAGAGCTGGGAGGAAAAAATGAGCTAGGTGAAAGGTCAAATAACAGACTACTTCAATTCCAGGAGAGATTATGTCAAAGAAAAACCTAAAATCAATATTTTAAATTTCAAAACAAAAGAGACTGTAGACAACAATTGGACGATAAGGTTAGTAAAATTTTGGCTCCAAAAGCATCTTTTTAAGAAGTCTAAAGAACACCAGAAGGAGAAGGCAGAAAAGGCATTTCCCGAGAATATATTAACATACTGTGCGCATGCACTTGCACCTGACACACAAGCACAGTGATGTTTCCATGGCAACGTGTGTGTGTGTGTGTGTGTGTGTGTGTGTGGGCGCGCGCGCCACGTGCCTTGTTACAAAGCAATCTTCTTAGATTCAGACATGCCTATAAAAATCCATGAACTGAACGCTGTAGGGGAGAGATTTTGAAACCAAAAGAAAAATTATCCTAATCTTCCTTGAGATGAGTCAGGCTATCATCCCGTCCTCCTCTAGTCATGCCGTGCACTGGACCTGTCTGCCACCTCAAACTGAGCTTCAGGCACATTTTTTCCACACAGTATCATTTCCCACATCTAGCTTAGCCTAGCACAGTCTCGTCACTGTACCATCTCCTGTATCCCTTCAGGGTTCCTGGGACCTTTGAAGACAATGACCTCCTGATTATCATTCTATCATTGCTTCCAAAGACAAACACATAGGCTCTTTTCTTATTAAAATGTGATTGCTAATGTGTGTGAGAAATTTCACATGCCCAAGGTTCTTAATACCAGTGATCTCTGGTCTGTAATGACTGACTTCCTATTGAGATGATTCCAAAATAAGGAAGTCTTAGTTTTCAGGCCTCCACTTTTATTCTTGGACATGATGTTCCCCAAAATTCCCTTCCCCTCAAATTTCTTTATGGTGTTGGAGAGCTTAGTACATACTAGAAAAATGTTCTTCCACTGAACTACAGCCCAGACCTCTCTTTTTTAAAAAATATTTTTTGTTGTAGATGGACACAATACTTTTATTTTATTTTATTTTTATATGGTGCTGAGGATCGAACCTAGTGCCTCACATGTGCTAGGTCAGCTCTCTACCACTGAGCTATAACCCCAGCCCCCTGACTTTTACTTTTTATTTGCCACATGGTATTTCTAGGTTGTCCAGGCTGTCCTGGAACTAGTGATCCTCCTGCCTCAGCCTCCCAAGTTTTGGGGGTTTACAGGCGCGCATACCATGTTGGCTTCTTTCCCCTTTCTCTGATTGAACTTTTGGGTGTTGACAAAGTTCACTGTAATAATAAATATCCCTTTTGCTTTAAGTGAGCAGTTCAATTTCTGAGGTTCTGTTCATCAAGGGGTGATATAATATGGCTTCTAGCAATGGCTTCTTATGGAACTTTTTAAATACATTTATTTTGTTTATTTATTTTTATGTGGTCGAACCCAGGGCCTCGCACATGCTAAGGATCGAACCCAGGACCTTGCACATACTAGGCGAGCGCTCTACTGCTGAGCCACAACCCAAGCCCCAGGAACTTTTATTATTTACCACAATTCTTCCAAATAATTATAATGTTTCTTATTTATTTCATTTTTCTTGCCTTTTAATGGCCAGAATTTCCAGAAATCATAACCCTGATTATTTTGAATATCTCTGTTTAAATTTACTTTGAAAGAACTATGCTTAGATATTTATCCATAAAGAAACTGCTATCCCATGCTTTCTTAACTGGAGTCTGATGTTAGCTGTACAATGTGCAATCAGGCGAGTTGGAGGTTAGAGAGGGAAGCAAGCTCCTGTTACTGAGAACATAATCCAGTATCAAAGTCCACTTTTAAGAGTGTGCTCCATCAGGGAAAATGGTCCCTGGATATGAGACCATTAAGCCTCAGGAAGCCGGATCTTCATTCACCTGTGAACATTAACAATTGTGCCACCTTACAGAAAAACAATGTCAGGCTGAAATAAAGGACTGTGAACTGGGTAGACAACAGTGAATAAGACAAAGAGCAGAGTGCTGCACAGAAGATTCAGTCAGTAAATACTGTTGATGATGCTCATCTCCTGCCCACACTCATCCATGATAATAGATCACATGATGATCCAGTGAATTTAACAGCAAAACACTTTCTGTGTTACACACAGAGGATTAAGGCCACCAAGCCCAGGATGATCGCCTTCCTCAGGCTGGACAACTCATCCTCTTCTCATGAGACAGGGATACAGGAGTGTTAATCCAATTCATCTGGCCACTTTTGTTTTTCAAATTAGCATCTTAGAGATGCGGTCTTTGAGAAAAGAGCCAACCTCCTTTGGCTTCTCATGATCACAAGATGTCCATGGTCACAGGGATCAGGAATAGTTAAATAATGAATGCATTATGTTGCTTCCTTTTCTCCTTTTATTTGCAATTCCCAATGGATTAAATCAGAGTTCAGCTTGGAAAACAAAGAAGCAATGGTTCCTATAAGACTGTTACTCTGTCTATGGACTGTACTCATTGCATAGTCACGAGGGAAAAGTCAGAGGTGACGTGGCTTTGCTAGTGAGACTTGCTTTATTTCCCTGAGTACATTGAATTTAATAAGATAAAGAATAAAAATAAGAAATATGTTGTTTTCTAACCACCATGCTTTCTTTCTGTTTTGCCTTTCCAAGTACAGTCCTAGTTAGCTCTATTTCAAATCACCATGCATGAGTTCTTGTGTTCTGTTTCTCTATGATAAAAGCAACTTTCTTTACCTTGGGTTTAATGACTGGATAGACCTGTGATGTGGCTCCAAGTTAAAAAAAAAAAGTGTGCAGAACTAACCACTCTCACCATCTCCACTGCTACCACCTGGAGCCAGCATCCTCTGTTATCTGGATCACTGCATTGGCCTCTGAACTGGCCTCCCTGCCTCCATCCTTGCCCCTTTAGAGTCCATCCTCAAAACAGCAGCCATAGTGTTTCTTCAAACAGAGATGTGAGAATAGAGCATTCCTCTACTCGGATCCCAGCCAGGGCTCCCTATCTCATTCAGAGTCAAAGTCAAAGACTTCACAATAGCCTAGGAGGCCCACCAGGACTTGGCTCCCCATCACACTGGGGCCACATCTTGTCTTGCTGTCTGTTGCACTCACCAGCACGGCTGTACTGCTTTCCTGCTATCCTCTGAACATCAGGCACTGCCTATTCCCTCTGTTTATAAGGCTTTTCTCTATTGTTTAAATGACAGCTTCTCTGTGAGATGTTCCCTGAGCACCTCATTTAAAAGTTTATCTTTGGCCAGGTGCGATGACGCATGCCTGTAATCCCAGCAGCTTGGGAGGCTGAGACAGGAGGATCACTAGTTCGAAGCCAGCCTCAGCAAAGGCAAGGCACTAAGCAACTCAGTGTGACCCTGTTTCTAAATTAAATACAAAATAGGGCTGGGATGTGGCTCAGTGGTTGAGTCCCCCTGAGTTTAATCCCTGGTACCAAAAAAAAAAAAAAAATGAAAAAAGTTTGTTTTGGCTGGGGGCAAAGCTCAGTGGTGGAGTCCTTGCGTAGTGCATATGAAGCTCTGGGTCTAATCCCTGGTAGGAGAGAAAAAAGAAAAGAAAAGAGTGCATCCTTTCTCCGTACCTCGACTCCAGTACCCCCAGTCTCCTCCACTGTACCCTAAGTGTTCTTTTTTCCTTAGAGCTTTATTACTTTCTAACATACTACATTATTTCTGTAAGTGTATCTTGTTTATTATCTGCTGGTCCCAGTGGAATGTAAGCTCCAGGAAGGCAGAGAGCTTTGCTCCCTGATTGTCCCAAGCACAGAACAGCACCTGGCACATAGTGGACACCCAAAAAATACTAATCAAAGGCATTCCCAGGATTCAAGGCTAGTCGTGGCACATAGTAGGCTCCCTGCTCCTGCTGTGGTACTCGGAATTGAACTCAGGGCCTCAATTGTGCTAGGCAAGTGTTCTACCACTGAGCTCCATGGCAGCCCCATGCTGCAATTATTTTGAGAAAGGGTCTTGGTAAGTTGCTGAGGCCGGCTTTGAACTTTCAATCCTCCTTCCTCAGACTCCTGAGTAGCTGAGATTACAGGTGTGTGTCACCACACCTGGCCATTGTAGGATCTTACTACTTGTTGAATGTTTTTCTCTGAGGCATGAAGAGGACTAAGTGTCAAAACAGAGAAGACATAGGCAGCCTAGAATGGTGATTCAGAAGATGGCAAGGTGCTGCCTCTGCTGGTTTGGAGTTTTGGCCCCAACCTGTCCTCCTGGTATGATCTGTGCGACTAACTTAACCTCTCTGAGCCTTTGTTTTCTTATCTGCAAATTGGAAAGCACAAGTATCTTCCTTCTAAGGTAATTAGGAGAATTAAAGTGATAACTCAGAAAGTCTGGTAAGTGCTTAATATATTTGAGCAATTATTTTTATGAGCTCTTATTCTTTCAACTCTTTTTAAGGGGAAATAATTTCCATATCCTTTCTTACTCCTCAGGATTATTGGGAGGCAAAAATACACAATTCTGTAAGTGAAAAACACTTTGTAAGCCATGCCCCACTTTACAGAGATCAGGGATGGTGATTATGATTCTTCTGAATCCCCCATAATACCTCACACTGTTCTGGGTGTGTGAGAAGTGCCCCGTGAGCCCCATTCACCAATGACACTGGGACAGCTTACGTCCTGGAAAAGAAAACCATACTGGCCCCAATCAATAGCTAAATTCCTTCTAAGACATGACCCTTCCCATGGCTGTCCAGAGGCAGAGCAGGGCCTTGGTTCTATTTCAAAGCCCTCCTTCTTCTCTTCTTTCTTTCCTCCCAGGCTCCCAGAAACCTTGCCAGCAGTGAAAGCACAACCATATTGCTGGAGCTGAAATCTGCAGCCTGTCCTTCAGATGGTTTCTGCAGATGGGCTGTTACTGTGCTGAAAGCATTGAACTCTGCAAGTGGATTGCACACCCAGCTCCTCTGAACCACTGATAGGTGGCAGCTCAGTCTCTTCCCCCTAATGCTCTTCTCTCTCTCTCTCTCTCTCTCTCTCTCTCTCTCTCTCTCTCTCCCTCCCTCCCTCCCTCCCTCCCTCCCTCTCTCTGACTTTTTGTTTGTTGACAGCAGCTGGGAACATACCTAGCTGGGCACAATTCTCTTCTAGGGAGAAGCAGCCCTCACTTACACGCAGGGGGGAGATGAGATTGCTGTTCAAAAGTACCAGCCTTTCTCTGAAGTGGTGTCACATCCAGACAGAAAAATAAATGTGCTCTGCCCTCATGGATGATGAGACGTCATCTTTCAGACAGACTTTTGACACAGGGGGATCAAGGTATGATTGCCTTTGACTCTTCTCTGCAGAGAAAACAGCACCTAATTGGACCAAGAGAAAAAAGAGTCAGCTGCTTCTTTCATGATTATTTAAACACCCCTGCACAGTCAAAAATGCTTCATTGTTTCATTACAAGTGAAATCTGATTGCCATTACATTTTCTACTGGCCTCCCCTCTATGCAAATTGGAGAGAAAAAAAGAAATTTATAAGTCACTGGAACTCATTTGCTTTTCTAAAGATATTATTTGCGTGTAGACATCAGCAGCCTGAAAAAATCCTAACAAGGAATGTCAAACTGACAGCCTTGTTTTCCTATTGTTCTCTCTGAAAACATCATTTTGAACATCACATCCACAAAGGCGAGTGGGATTCTGCCTTATCTTGTCTCAGGAAGCGGCGTCATGGTTAATTGTAGGCATTGGACATTAATGAAAATCATTTCTGGGAAAGTCCAGTTTTTATAGACAAGATTAAAAGAATCCATCAGCTAAAAAATATTGTTTTTCTCGCCTCTGCTGACAGTCCATGTTTGTGCCGGGGACTGAGTATTTATTATATAGTAATTTGTACGACAGTTTATAATTTCTAAACATTTTTGCCTCAGGTACCCTGGATAACAGTCCCAAGGACCCTGGGAGGGAGGCAAGGGCAGTTCTCTGGTTCTACAGAGGAGAAAGTGGGGTTGCAGAAAGATGGGGACATACCGATGGCCACAGAACATGCCCACCCTGGGCGTTCGCCGGACAGTGCACATTCCTCCTCATCTTTCCAAGCCCAGATAAAACGTCTCCCTTTTTCAGTAGCAGTTCTTGGTCTCTTCTGACCCCACTCCCCCTTCCCACCACTGCAGAAGACATTGTTCATTCATTCAACCAGTGTCAGTAAAAAACAATTTATGTGTCACCAGAGGAGAAGGGACAACAATGTCCACATCATCGTGGGTCCTGTAGCGAGGAGCTAGTGGTCCATCTAGGGTACAGGATGTCTAGCTCTCCAGGTCCCTGAGGACCTGTTCTGACCAAGTTTAAAACTGGCTGAAAAATAGAGGATCCAATAGATGGTGCCCAAATTGTATATTTTATAGTTAGAAGGTGAAGTAGCAAAAGGGCTGGAGGGGCCTGCTAAGTGAAACCCAGCGGGAGAAGCTCCCCGCTGCTGGGCCAGCCATGGGCAGGAGAAGGCCACTTCCTGACAGGGGACCTTCCTGAGAGGAAGAGGCAGTGGCTAAGCAGAGCACCGCGGTGGTTGCTCAGTTCACCAATGGACAACTCGCGTTGTCCACCCAGGCATAGAGTGGCCAGGGAGGCCAAGAGTGTCCCGAGGAGAAAGTCTCTCCTCAAGGGGAGCGAGGAGGAGGAGGGTAACCTCCTGCCCCAGGAATCGAATTCAGGCCCATTTTGTGGGCTCCCACTCAGAACCCCAGGATGGAGAGGCAGACGAACTCCCACAGGAGCAAGTGGGCTCACTGCTGTGAGTCTGTGCGGTTACCTGCTATGTGCCGTCGGTGTCTCTGTCTGCTGCCCTCCGCAAGGCGAGACTCCCAAGGACAGGGACACTGCTCCAGCAGGACCCAGTGTAAGATGTGTGCAGGACGGTGCCCCGTCACGGCCCGATAACTGCATCTGTAGCACAGTGACCCAACCCAGATCACCAGGAAACAGGATCAGAGCCCACAGTTCTGCCTCCTGGCCCAGTGCTCTCTGTCCTGGGCTACATTATGGTAGCTGTGCATCCTGACCCCACACACCACAACCACAAGGGAGATGGGAAGCAGTAACTAATATGCGTGAGGGCTTACTCTGTTTGTGACAGCATGGTGGGGGGGGGTTATACACACGTACCTTTTTATAGTCCCCTCTGAACTAGACATGAACATTCCTCATTCTAAGGTCAAGGAAATGCACACTTAAAGAGGTTTAGGCATGTGTCCAAGGGCACGTAGCTGGCACTGAGGCTGAGTTAGACCCATGCTGTCAACCCCACAGAATATGCTCAGGAATCTAAGATAAAGCAACTCAGAGGCTAAAATGTGCTTAAATAATGTGTTACTCAGTTTTCCATCACTGTGACAAAACACCTGAGATGATCAACTTATAAGGAGGAAAGGTTTATTATGGTTCAAGGTTTCAGTCCACAGTAGGTTAGCTCTGATGCTTTCAATCCTGAGGCGAGAGTGGGGACAGAATGTTATGAGAGGGAGCACAAGACAGCAAAACAGTTCATCTCATGGCAGCCAGGAGGCAAGTAGTGGGGTGGGGAGGGAAGAGAAGGGTTAAAGGTCCCAACATCCCCTCTGAGGGCACACCTGGAATGATTTAGTGTCTTTCCTGTAGGCCCCACCTCTTAAAGTGTCCACCACCTTCCACCAGACATCATCACTGAGGATCACGATTTCAATGCATAAGTTTTTGCGGGACATTTAAGATCCATACAAACCATAACATATTAATTACACAGGGATTTTTTTTTTCTGGCTGAAAGTCTTCACTTGGGGTTCTGTATGACATGGTAGGGAGCAACCCAAAGCTGGATAGGAAACTGTCACCAGTCTGTGACAAGAAGAGAGGTTGAGAGCAAATGTTTAAAACCCTTTATGGCAACTTGATAGTGCTGCTGCATTCAAAGGTGTGATGATGGGCACATCTTGTTAAACAAGGTGAAGAACATTTGGATGATAGAAACCACACAGATGAGCCCCCAAGTGATCTAAGTTGTATATTAGTGTCCATCTGCAACAGATCAAAAATTTCAAAATTTTCTCACAGTTTGAGAAACACCAACATTTAGTTGGAGGTCATTTACCTTGGGAGTTGTATTAGTCAGGGTTCTTTGGAGAAGCAGAATCAACAGAATTAATGCTTAGATAGGATTCTAAAAAGGAGATTTGTTGGATTGGCTCACACAACCAGAGTCCTCCAATGGCCATCAGCTAGAGAGCCGGAGGAACCAGTAGCTGCTAAAGTCTAAGATGCCGGAGCTTCAGAATAAGAGGGATCAATGATACCTTCCTAGTCCAGGACTGAAGGCTGGGAAACTCTCCGGAGAGTCCCTGGGCAGCCATCACAGCAGCAATCAAGAACCCATTCAGGAAGAATAGAGCTTGCATCTGCTGCTGCTTCCATGGAGGGGACTTGGAACCTTCCTCCTATGGATGAGGGTGACTATGTTGTTACGGTTTAGGTCACTTATTTTAATTTAACTACCTATCTATTTATTTGTTTACTTGCCTAGGTACTGGAATTGAACCCAGGAGCACCTTACCACTGAGCTACATCCCAGCCCTCTTCATTTTTTATTTTGAGACAGGGTCTTGTTAAGTTGCTTAGAGTCTCTCTAAATTACCAAGACTGGCCTTGAATATGAGTCTCCTGCCTCAGCCTCCTGAGTTGTTGGGATTACAGGTGTGTGCTATGGCTCCCAGTTTAGGGTTTGGATCTTAAATGTCTCCCAAAGACTCTTGTGTTAAAGGCTTGGTCATCAACCTGTGGTGTTATTGAGAGGTGGTGGAATCTTTAAGACATGAAGTCAAGTAGGAGAAAGTTAGGTGTCCTTGAAAGGGATACTGGGACCTAGCCCTTTCCCCTCTTGGCCACTATGAGATGAAGAGGCCTCCTCCATCATGCCTTCCTGCCACCGTAAGGCACGGTGCTACCACAGGCCCAAAACAGTGGGGCCAAGAAACCCAGGAACCCAAATAAATCCTTCTTTTCTTTTAAGGCGATTTTCTCGGGTATTTTGTCACAGCACTGAATAGCTGACTAATAAAACTATGTCATTCCTCACAGTTCACTCTGTCAGCTATTTTAGTTTTGTTTTATTTTTAATTAAAAAACTTTTTCATTTTGTACTGGGGATTAAATCCAGGGGCACTTTTGCGTTGAGCTACATCCCCAGTCCTTTTTATTTTTCATTTGCTCAGGGTCTTGCTAAGTTTGGAAGCTGGCCTTGAAGTTTGGGTCCTCCTCCTGAGTTGTTGGAGTTACAGTTGTATAGCACCACACCTGGCTTATTTTAACTTTAAATATAAATAAATTTCCCCTTGATTTGAAGTTCTTGTTGATTGGGTATACTGTTTCCTCTCAGGGTTTAGAGGCAAAAAGTGAAGCCAGTCCAATGATTACAAAGTGTTACAAACTGAGTCTGTGGGGGCCAGTCTGACTACAGACCTGGGAGCTCTGCAATAGAACATGACATTTAATAAAAGGACTACAGATGTGCTAACCTGAAGTTCACCTATCCATTCCTAAAACTCAGTAGTAATTGCAGCAATCATTTAGAACCTCAGCAAACAAGTCAGGCTCAGTGACACACGCCTAATCCCAGTGACTCAGTACACTGAGGCAGGAGGATCACAAGTTGGAGGCCAGCCTGGGCAACTTAATGAGACTCTGTGTCAAAATAAAATAGAATTTTAAGACAGGCTGTGGGTGTAGCTTCATGGCAGAGCACTTGCCTAATCATGTAGCCTGCCCAAGGCCCTGGATTCAATCCCTAGCATGGAAAAAAAATATCCCTACAGCTTATGAACCTTCTTGTAGCCTCCATCCAGGGAAAGTCCCACCCTAGCTCCCACTCTTGGTATGCTGCTGCTTCCAGTTATAATTGTTTGTGTATTTTAAGGGCTTGAAAATGACTTTGTCTTTTTTTATATATTTATTTTTTGGTAGTTGTAGTTGAACACAATACCTTTACTTTATTTATTTATCTATCTATCTATCTATTTATTTATTTATTTATATGTGGTGTTGAGGATCGAACCCAGGGCCTTGCACGTGCGAGGCAAACGCTGAGCCATAACCCTAGCCCCATGACTTTGTCTTTTAAAAAGAGCTTCCATAGCAATGTGCTTGCTCTTTTGGTCCAATGCGTTTAGTTCTGGGCCAAGAGAGAAAAAAATGCAATTAATATTCATAATAGCTGACATCTACTATGTGTGTACTTGGCACCAGACACAGTGCCTGGCGATTTATATGCATTATCTCTTTTCTTCCAAATGTACCCTAGAAGATATGTTCTGTTCTTGTCTCCAACTAATAGATGAAGGAACTGAAGCTTAGAGAGGTCAAGTAACTTCTCTGAAGCCCCACAATTGGTGCACGGTAGACAGGAGATCTGGACCCAGTGCCTGACTCAGGGCCTGCGCTCTTGACCTTCAGGCTCTGCTACCTTCCACTCTTGCTCATCAAACAGAATACGGAACACTACATGGAGTGGTAACTCTCTGGGGCTCTCTCTTCAGGGCCAGGAGCTATAAATATGCTATCATATTTAATTCTCACAGTAGCCCTGCAAACCCTTTTACCCAGCAGGAGAATGACATTCAGCAAGGTTAGTTACTTTTAGATGACAGTCAGTGAATTAAAGAACCCATATTCAAATCTACACTATTCTGTTTGCTTTTACTGTTATCTTATATTTCCTGCCAAAGGCACCCAGTGCAATATGGTGCATTGAGTCACAAATATAGAGGTCCACATATAATATGAAAAAAACTCCATGCATAAAACAAGATGTTGTCAACCTCGTTGGAGAGTTAGGCAATTGATTTCCCAGACTGCCTTTCAGTTAGGGTGGCACCGACTGGGTCCGTGATGGTTATAGGAAGTGGCAGGTGGTGTGATGAGTTCTTGGAGAACTTTTCCTTAGGGTCTCACTAAGTTGCTGAGGCTGGCCTTGAGTTTGTGACCATCCTGCCTCAGCCTCCCGAGTCACTGGGATTACAGGGCTGCACCACCATGCCCAGCTTCAGTAACTTTTTAAACTGGCCTCTTCTATTTCTTTCCTCGTCTGTGTAGTGAGAATCCCTCCGTGCACCTTCCTGATTTCTCTGATGATTTGAATTCTGCAGTCATCAGGGTCTACGGGACATAAGGTATCACTGCCATGAGAAAAAGAATAACTTGCACTTTGTGGCCCCACTCTGCCAGACAGAGGGTAGTGACTCAGTTCACCCCTGCAACAATAGTGGAGACCATGCCAGAAATGGAAATACTAGTTGCCATCAAGGTGCAACTCAGAGTGTCTGTGGTCTCAGGCAGTGTTGGTCAGCATCGGACTCAGGCTTCTGGGTAATTGTAAGCCACGATCATGGTAACCTTCCCTACATTGCCCAAGAAGCTATTGCAAGTTTGACGAGAATCAAGTTGGCTAGTGATAGGATGGCTGAGGACATTTCAGTGGCATAAACTGCCCCTTGTTTCCCAATGCCAGTTCTCCCTTCTCCCTTCCACAGGGAGAGAACCCCCTAATGGTTAGACGGGAACAAGGCACCCCAGCGTAAAATCTACATTTACCAGACTCTTGACAAAGTTCCACCAATGGGACATAAGTGGAGGTGTGTAACCTATAGAGATGGGTGTGCCTTTCTTAACTTTTTTTTTTTTTTTGTACTGGGAATTGAACCCAGGAGTACATAACCACTGAGCAACATCCCCAGCCCCTTTTTGTATTTTATTTTGAGACAGGGTCTTACTCAGTTACTTAGAGCCTCATCAAGTTGCTGAGGCTGGCTTTGAACTCGTGATCTTCCCAGCCTCCTGAGCCACTGGGATTACAGGTATGTGCCACCATGCCCAGCCGCTGTCCTTTTTTTTTTTTTACAGCTTTTCCTCTTTCCTGCTGATTTGGATGTTGATGTATTAAATGGAACTTCAGAAGCCATTTTGGACCATGAGGTGAACTTGGGATTGGAAGCCACTTGTGGCCGAGCAAAAAGATACAAGAACCTTGAGTCCTTGGCACCATAGGGCTATATTTTAATCCTGGGCTGCCTGCCTCTATATTCCTTCAACATTAGAAGAAAATAGATTTAATTTTTAAGCCACTCTTATTTTGTTTTCTTTCTGTTACTTTATAGCAAAACTTCCCCAACAATATAACTTCTTATTGCAATGACTATAATTCCAGTTCTTACATATCATCTGCCATCAGTGCAAGCATTCAGCAGCTGTGGGGAAGTCTATAGATATGATTCCACTTAGAAGAAGAGATGCCATCATTTATAGTTTCATGCAATATTTATAGAGCTCCTCTTACTATAGGAAAGGCCCTAAGAGGCAACCAAAGATGAGTGAGTCCCATCCCACGAAGCTTAAATATCAAATTGACATGGAAGAGACCAGACAATTGTATATAGAGTTTGTTGTGAGTTTCTCCTCTATCTTGAGCCTTCTGTTACTACCACTTTTCTTGTTCTTACATTTATTCATTCATATACTCAACAAATATTTATAAACAATTTTCACATGACAAGAATTATGTTAAGTGTTAGAGTTATAGTAATGCACCTTTGTAACCACATCTTTATGTGGTTACATGTTCTTGTGAAGTTAAAAGCGTTGTTTTGCATTGCTGTAATGAAAAACCCAAGGCCAAGTAACTTTATAAAGAAAAGAGTTCATGAGTCTGGAAGTTCAAGGTCCAGGGCTACCTCTGGTGAAGGTTTTCTTACTGGCTAGTCCTAAGGCAATGCAGGGCATTACATGGCAAGAGACATGGAACATATGTATGTATCCTGGTCTTTCTCCCTCTTCTTATAAGGTCACTCAGATTCAGTCATGAGGGCTTCAACCTAATGATCTGATTTAATTATAATCACATTCAAAAGCTTATGCCTCTAAATATTATAGTTGGACTAAATTTTCACCCTCTTACTATCTCACCGTGGGGATTAAATTTTAACACATGAACCCTTGAGGGACATACTTGAGCCATACCCAAACCATAGCACAGGATGTTTTATAGGATAGATATATTTTGGGTTCCCTTGCCTTTAAAAAATAAAAGCATAATAATATTATTCATTTCTAATTTCAAAAGTGACATGTTCACCAGGCACAGTGGCACATGCCTGTAATCTCAGTTATTTGGGAGGCTGAGGTAGGAAGATCACAATTTGAGGTCAACTCAGCAACTTAGTGGGGCCCTGTCTCAAAATAAAATAAAAAGAGCTTGATTGCAGCTCAGTGGTAGAGCAAACGCTCTATGTGTGAGGCCTTGGGTTCAATCTCTAGTACCAA